GCCCTCCCCCCTGCCGCTCCTCCCGCCCCTCCTCACTTTTTCTGGGTGCTTGTGTGTGTTTCAGGCCTTCAAGGAAAAGTTGCAAACTCCCAAGTTTTTTTGTTTGTTTTTTTTTTTTTTTTTTTTTTTTGTTTTTTTTTCTTTTTTTTTTTTTTTTCTTCCGTATTTAGGGAGCAGGTGCCTGGCAGCAGGGAGCTATGTAGGAGGTGCCTGGGCGCTCAGGGAGCTTCGAGGGGGTAAATGGAGAGGATGTGGGAATGGAAGGGGTAGCCTTGTCAGTCCTCTCAGGGTATTCCGGGGGAGAGACTCCAAACCCTCCTTCTGGAGGGAAGGGGGATTGAGCGCTGTATTCCTTTTTTATAAAAAGAAAAAAGAAAAAAAAAAAGTGAAGAAAAAACCAAACCAAACCCAAGGCAGTTGCCCGAGGATGGAGGTTCAGTAGCCAACCACAGCTGGACTCTTGGGGAAGAGGGTTCGTGCACTCTGCTCACGCACACATGAAGAGATTCTCCAAATTGTTTGGCTTCGTGAAGAGATCAGGCCAGTTGAGCTCCATGTTTTTAAAGGTGGGCCGTGTATGATGAAACCCAACTTCTTTTAAAGTGTAGCAGATCTCATTTTTATGGCCAAATGACAGCTTGACCCAGTTGTTATCCGATCAAAGGGCATTTTTTTGAATGTCTCTTTGTGGCACGACAGCCAACGCAAAAATGATGGCGGCTTACAATGGCGGTACGTCTGCAGCAGCAGCAGGTCACCACCACCACCATCACCACCACCTTCCTCACCTCCCTCCTCCTCACCTCCATCACCACCACCACCCTCAGCATCACTTGCATCCGGGCTCTGCCGCTGCGGTACACCCGGTACAGCAGCATGCCTCTTCGGCGGCTGCGGCGGCGGCAGCTGCGGCCGCGGCGGCGGCGATGTTGAACCCGGGGCAGCAGCAGCCATATTTCCCATCACCGGCACCGGGCCAGGCCCCTGGACCAGCTGCAGCCGCCCCAGCTCAGGTACAAGCTGCAGCAGCTGCTGCGGTTAAAGCGCACCATCATCAGCACTCACAACATCCACAACAGCAACTGGACATTGAGCCGGACAGACCTATTGGATATGGAGCCTTTGGTGTCGTCTGGTGAGTAACCACAAAAAAACTGAACCAATTTCTCCTTTTCATTTCTTTCTTTTTTTTTTTTTTTTAAACCAGATCATAATTCATTCTCGGTTTTGTCATTTGAATCAGAATACAAGAAAGCTGCTTACTACAAATTTTTTTACTGTTCTTCGAAAGTTGGCTTCACTTGTTTTTGTTGGCAGGACGAGGCGTAGGGTGGTGAAGAGCATCCTCTGACTGACAGGCCGCACCGTCCATCTCTGCTGAGACAGATGCAGCACGTTTCCATACCTTATATTAGAATCCGTGTAGCTAAGCTGCGCTCCCTAAAATTTCAGATTAATAAATGAGCGTTAGAATGTACATTTTGACCTGACTTAAGAGTAGAAATTAAAAGCGTATGAGAACGCCTTCCTCCTTCAGTCACCTGTCAGGATCATTGTCAGGGGGACTGTCTGACCCGCGGTAGAATGCTGTGTGCTCCCTGAAACTGAATAGCTGAACTTTGCTCTCCTCTCATAAATGGAAATGGGATTTTCTGTCTTACTGGAGCACTGCCTGCAGTCCCTGTGTTCCCCCAGACGCTATTTCAGAGGATTCTGTTGGTGGAGCATAATCTCTTCCAATACATTTTGTGACCGCCTTAAATACAACGTGTGTAATTATTGCCCTTCGGGATCGCTGAAGCAAAACTGGCATGATTTTAGATACTTTTATTTTTTTTTCTCCTCTTTAATAAGTGGTTGTCTGTTTGCCACATTCTGAGCTGTTCATGAGGAGCAGGAGAGATGCCCTGGCGGTGTTCCTGCGAGCAGGCGTGCTGCAGCACACTTCCTCTACCACAAACACAAAGTTTGAAGTGTGCAACTTGTGTCGTGTCCCCGCAGAGCTTCCCCCGGCGTCCAGCCCGCAGGGCTCGCCGTGCTGCGGGAGGGGTTTTGCTGTAGGCACTGCCCCTATTCTGGTTTTTCTGAGGGAAGCACCGGGCGGTTGGTGCTGGGGCCTGTCCCAGCACACGGGGCAAAGTTCTGCCTCGGAAGAGCAAGACACGTTATTCCTTCGTCCCAGCCTGTAAAGTTGGTCACTCGGAACCAGCCCGGTGTTTGCAATAAAATCACATTTTCTAAGAAGGCTGAAGCAGCTGCACAAACTGCGGTGTAGGTTAATGATAAGTTGATCTTGTGTCCCTTTGCTGGGAAGGCCCAGGGAGGTAATTTGGACGGGGAGTGCTCAGTCGGAGGGTGTGTTGTGCAGTTACACTGCAGGGCTCTTGCTGTGATACAGTGCTAAAAAGTTGATACAAGAGAATGAAAACTGACAAGAAATCTGCTGTAAAAAATTATCCAAAGATTATTTCCATCTGTTCATGTGTTGTTGTTTTTTTCATAAAGTGTGGAGTTTTTAACTTAATTGTTACAGGCTCGCTTAAATTTAGATTGTTATGTAAGATCAGACCTTGTTACCATTTCTATAAGCATTTTGTTTACCTGTGCGTATTTCCCGGGTCTTTATTTCCTCTGTTCTATTTGCCAAAAAAATAAGGTTCAGCGAGAGATCTGCTATTATAATATTCAGTAGAATAAAAGGTCAGGCTTGCATATTTAAATATAATAACGTAAAAAATGGCTGAGGGGAAAAACAAAAGTGTGGCAAGTGGAAGGGTCTGCCCTTGGCTGCCGTCAGGCACAAGGGTGCCACGCGAGGGGGACGGCCACCGGTGGGACTGGGCTTGCGGAGTTGTAGCCACAGCTCTTACTTCCAGATAACATCATCTTTAAAAAAAAAAAAAAAAAGGGGAAAAAGAGGGGGCGTGTTAAATAAAATAAAAGCAGAAGTGTGGGTGTCAGCTCTCCTCTGGTGAAGCAGCAGGGCTGAGAGGGCAGTTGGTTGACATTAGTTCCTCTTTGCTCCCGTGCGTTTGAATTCAGTGGTCACTGGCAGGCGTTTGGCATTTCGTGTGGGCGTGTTAAATAAAATAAAAGCAGAAGTGTGGGTGTCAGCTCTCCTCTGGTGAAGCAGCAGGGCTGAGAGGGCAGTTGGTTGACATTAGTTCCTCTTTGCTCCCGTGCGTTTGAATTCAGTGGTCACTGGCAGGCGTTTGGCATTTCGTGTTAACTCCTCTGGGTGAATGCAGGCTGAATTTACGAGTCTGTAAGCAATAATTAAAACGAATTTTAGGTTTCATTCTGAGTGTGAAAGAATGCCTGTGTAATTTAATTTTAGCCATGTGAGATAATGCAACTGAACATAAACATTGATTTGGATATTTATAGTTTAAGTTGACTTAGGCATGACAAGTGTGTACCTTGGTACAAGTGCAACAGAATTTTTAGTAATGTGAGGCATAAGCTAATTTTGAGTAAGGATTCTCTTGCTTATCTGTTCCTCTTCGGGAGCATGTCTTGGCACTAATAGATAACCCAAAGTTCTCATCTGAACTTCTGAGGGAAATGGATGTTATTCTGCAGACGGTTTGAGTGTTTGAAGGAGGAGTCTTTCATCTCGCTACTCAGATGTGTCATTGCATTGTCTAGAAAGACACAACTTACCCGGCAGTTAAGTTTAGCTCCTCAAATAAGTAATCAGCAGAGTGTGGTATTGAGTTTCCCGTTAGCTTGCCGAGAGAGATTTTGCCTTGGCAGTTGAATTAGCATTTGTCATTAGCTCATTTGTCTGGTGCTTTATGATGTTTTGGGGTGGCTAATGTGCTGCTGGAGTTCTTCACTCACGAAGAGCCAAAAGCATTGTGCTTCAGCATTTTCGTGGTGAACTCCACAGGCGTGTGTCTGTGCACACAAACTGTGCCCTTGCTC